ATAAATCTCAATAAGTTATTTTTTCTTAAAATAAGTGTGTTTTTCCTTGATTTGAGGAGATAAGTAAGACACTTTGCCAATGGAACAAGACAATTTCCTTTTAAAATAAGAAAAAACTATTTTATCGTCTTATTTCAAGTAAATATTATCTAACTATCTTATTTTAAGAGTGAAAACACTCATTCCATTGGCAAATCATCTTATTTACCTGCTCAAATTAAGGCTAAATATACTTAATTTAAGCCATTTTTTACTTATTTCTGGATTGTTTTTGCAGTGTAGAGCATAAACAGTAGTGTATGGGACTTCCTAAAAGCGCGCGCCTGCGCGTTCATGACGCTACGGAAGCCGGCAGACCAAACCAGATGAAAGTGCGCATTCAGCGTCTGCTCTGCCGATAATGCAAGCGTAGAAGAAGAAATGTGCTGTTTACCTGTGCAAAGAAAGAAACAACGAAAGAAAAATGTCTGAGGACTTCAGTGTTGAGGAAGAGCATGAGTTCTTTGCCGAGCTGAATGCGCACTTTCATCTGGTTTGGTCTGCCGCGGTTTCCGTAGACTCGTGAACGCGCTTTTAGGAAATCCTATACACTACTGTTTATGCTCTAAAAACATTCTAAATGACTTCGTTTCGAGTAAATTCTGGACGCTACCCACTCAGGACACTTGGAATACATTGGACGAGCAGTATGGAGGAATATTGACACGTTTTTTGTGGACTTTTATGGACCTTTCTGCCTCGGGCGCCATAGACCTCCATTATTTGAATGTCAGCAGACAGCAAGAAGCCTCCCAGATCTCCAGATGCATTTGAGATATCAAAAAAGTACTCCAGAGTGGTGTTCAGCATGGGGGGAGTAGAAAATGAAGGCTAATCATGTTTTGGGTGTACTATTCCTTTAAGCTGGGCGTACACTGTATGATTTTTTTGCCCTTTTCCGGACGATTCTCCAGTCGTGCAGGAATTGGGCCGTCTTTCAGCCTGATCATGCATCGTGTAGCTGTACAGGGGGACCACCTCCCCATCAGGAATCGTAAAGTTGGGAGAAAATCAAGCATATTTGAAATTCAGTTAGGCGTCTTTAGGTCACATCAGAGCGTCGGGCTGCAGTGTGAGAACAAGCATTGTGAGCTGTGAACTTTTAAACCCAGCGGTTTCGTCGTATAGTTTGAGCTGTAGCTAAGTACAACGATGGAAAAAAATTGCCAGTGTATGCCCAGCTTTACCAGTTGGAGAAGGCTCCTTCTGTCCTCCTCTGCCTGCATCTTTTCAACCCGCCCACCACTTGCACATTCATTTTTATTGTTTGTTTGGAATCTTAGATAAGCCATTTAACACTTTTTTAAAATGAGAATGTTGGAGAACCAACTCCCCTCTTCCCATCACCACACAGCTCTGCATCCTCGGTTGGGGAAAGTAGACGTGTCCTAACAATGGTGGGTTTATTGGTGGTGGGATGCATGCATGTTGGAGCTGGATCACCAAGACTTGTATCATTAAAGTGGTTCTAAAAGCTCCATCCATTGACTCTGTACTGTGAAGTTCATGTCCCCAACAACAAAAAGAAATGCAGCCTGGCCTTTGCTAGAGCATTTGATTTGTAGCAAGATGACAGCGGAGAGGTAATTACTTAAAGCCACATATCATTTTGTCACCATGAGAACACAATGATGGGTCTCCCAGACGTCTGACGACCCACTTTCATCAGAGCGCGGCAGAGTGAAGGTCAGGTAGAGACAGAAGTATTGGACTCCACTCAGCGTGAGCGGCAAGGCCACATTAAATAGAGCCGTCTCTCCAACACGTAATCCCAGAAACACACCATCATTTCGCTGCTGGCTGTTTCAGAGGGAGTCACGTCTAGTTCAGGCGCTGGTCATCATGTCAGACCCAGGAATACGGAGAAGCGATATGATTGGATTACTGTGTTCTGCTTGCAGGAAGCGTAGCAGCCGTCTAGATCAAGTCACCTTGTCTCAGCGTGCATCCAGAGATAAGGACGGCCGCTCCCGGCTGTTCAGGGATCTCATTTGGTTAATGTTCTGATGTAATGTTAGACACAAGAGAAAGGTAAAAAAAAACAAAACACTCTGAATGTCAAAGGTCACCTCTAAAACTCAGAGCGATTTCAAACAATGATTGAACCAGACTGACGTGAAGCAGTGTCTTCCTGTCCTCCTGCTCCGCCCGCTCCACCACCAACTAATCAGGTTTAGATTTCCATCTCCGGGCTCCGTCTATTTATCTTCTGCTTTAGTCATGTAACATCAGATTTTAATTTTCTTATACCACCAGAATATCTCTACTAAAGGAATCATGTTGTTAGCAGGTTAATGGTATTATAGTAGCATTGGGGGGAGGCTACTATTCCAGTCTTGATTATTTTAGGAGGTCATGAATTAAAGTAATAAACATTCTCACTTTAAACAAGCGTCCCACATCGATCTGAAGATAAATCCTCAAAGTTTCTGCTTGCAGAAGACTCTTATACATGACAAAATGTACGCCCTGTTTTTGGGACGTTTTCCTTTGCTCACATGTTCAAAAATTCACAAGCTGCAGCAGCTGGAGTTGGAAACATTGAACTTTAGCTGCTGGATGCACCTCATCAACTAATGAGAGAAGCTGATCTGGGAGCTGGCAGGGAGTCAGACGCAGCACTGCTGATGCAGAGCGCTATGATCACTCCTCTGAAACAGTTTATTAACGCCTAAATTAACTTCAAATGTAGAAACCTGCCGGCAGAATATGTTGGCTTTTATTATCCTGCTGCCTGCAGTTTGTAGCACAGACCTGAAAAACGCTAACATCTACTTCCAGCCGCCACCAACAGGAGGGGAAAACCCCCCAGAGGCGAGCGGGCCTGAGGCAGCTGCTGCTGGGGATTCCCAGTGACAGCGCAGCGCCGGTATGTGGGGGTCTGAGCGGAGAAATAATCTTTGAAGGCAGGATGGTAATCTGGATGAACTGACTGCGCATAATCCCAACTAAAATCCTGGCCAGGAGCAATACTGTGCATAAGACCCACCCATCATTTTAAAGCTCTCCTCATTGGCTGCCACTTAATGTCAACCATTTCTGGAAAAGTCGCTACGTTAACGTGTAAGGATGGGGAAAAGAGCAGACCGTCTTCGCTAAATGAGCCATGCTAGGAGTGACCTACCGAATGACGTTGTCACTACCTGACCGTCTGGGAAGCACGATTCGTCCTGCGCATGCGCAAACAGATATACATATGGGTGTTATTATGGTACTAAAATTACGAAAGAATGCTATTACACATCTTTATAAAACGTTTTCCGACTTTTGAGACAATGTTGATGCTTTTTAAATTTTTAAATTAAAAATTTTTAAAAAATTGGATATCTGGATGTGCAAATTAGCTGATGGCGCTTCCGGGACGGATCGGGCCCCCTGACGGATCGTGCCTCTGGGACGGATCGTGTCTCTGGGACGGATCGTGTCTCTGGGACGGATCGTGTCTCCGGGACGGATCGTGTCTCTGGGACGGATCGTGTCTCCGGGACGGATCGTGTCTCTGGGACGGATCGTGTCTCCGGGACAGATCGGGTAGTGACAGACGTGTTTGACTGGGACACTACGTTTGAAGCGATAGCGACCTAACAAGGAGCAAAACCACCAGAACCAACATGGTGAACAGACATTTTGGTGGATTTTAGATTTCCACTAGAAATTGATTTATAGCTTTACAAGGTTTCACGATTAACCCTCACAAAAACAATTTGATACATTTCAAAAACGTACAAAAGAAAATTTTAATAAAAAAAAAAAAAGCTGGTAGTGACAGATAATTATGTATAAAGGATCACAGAGAACAGGACGGGCGGTTAGGGTTAGAGAAGAATGGCTCCACTCTGAGGACCATATAAAGACAGAATATCTTAATTATCTGGCCTAAAGAAAGACTTATGAGACAGAAACACCTCAACCAGCAGCAGCAGCAGCAAGTGCCCTGCTCCCCTTCCCGCTGCGCACCCTTCACACCCGCGACTCAGAGCTCCAACAGCCTGGGAATAAACTGTCCTGACTGCACTTTCACAACATCATCAACATTCTTCACTTTGTGGGAGCTCAGAGAGGATAGGAGGCTAGCAGAGTGGTGGATTAGGAGAGAGAGGGAGGGAGAAGACGGAAAGAAGAAGCATGGAGGGGGGGGGGGATCAAGTGTGAGTTTATGTAACCAAGGTCAGCCAAAGGAAAAACACCCAAAAACAGCGAGACCGCAAGGCAGGAGGACTGGTGCTAGGAGGGCGAGTCCGAAAACAATCAGCGACACGTCACAGTGGAGGGGGGGGGGACTGGTAGCACGGCCTAAGCTTCTGGTTTGGCACCAGAGGAGCATTATGGGATGGCTGCAGCCTCTTTAAATAGCTGTAAACTGGTGGGGTGGGGGACCTGAAAACCAAAACTCTTTCTGACTACAGATGAAGTTCATTCTAACGGGATGGCGTCTCTTCCTGCTAAATGTTCAACTTTAAACTCAGAATCTAAGGATTTTAGCAGCAACCTCAATTATTAACACAATAGCGGGGCTGGCCTCTGATTGGCCGAGGTAATAAGGGAACATTTCGCAGGATTTGTAATTTAAAAATGTTTAAGTCTGCCCTCGATTATCCTGAATATAGATCCATTAAAATCCAAACGATCACCTCTGCTGTCTGATTTATTCTGTCGTTAGTTAAATAGTTTGTAACATTTAAGGAAATTAAAAGACGAGTTTAAAATATGCTGGGGGTTTACTCCAGTATCTAATCATTTTTGTCATTTGAGCGTTGAAGAAACAGAATAAAGTATAAAGTTATGACAGATCTTATTGAAAAGAATCAATATAAAAGGCCTTTATTTTTCACTCATTCACGTTATTATGTTTCATGTATAGAAATAAAAAATCAAATAGTTTCCATATTCAGTTTTCTGTTTTGTCCCACAGGAGCTGTGAACCCCACAGATGAATGAATGAATGAATGCAGGTTTCCTACCAGAAGCTCACTGCCTTTCTCCTCCCAGTCCAGATGGATCCATGGCTCCCATTAGCATCTGTCAAAACCTGCAAGAAGGCACAGAGTTGGATTAGAAAATGAGAAGGCAGCAGCTACAAGACCCGTCTCCAGAGGCCCGTCCGACACACCATGCAGCACTAACAGCACATCAGCTCAGACTCGTGAAGCCAAACTTTTTCATACATGTGAAATAAGAAATGAAACGAGTTTGAACTTTCTGTGATGAAAGTAAAATTCATTGCAATGGAGCAGAAGCTTCTGGTAGAGGACTGAACAGACCAAGACCTCCTTCAGTCTAGGTCTCCCTCCTGCTGGGAGACGGACTAAGCACAGCTTATCTGGGCTGGATGTGATTGAGTTTGTTTGTTTATCCGGAGGTTATCCTACCAATCAGATTAGGATACTAAGAAAGAGCTACAGTTTCCATGAAGCACCAATTTTAGAAATTGTTTCACACAGTTTTGCTGCCAGAGGGGAAACAGTCGACCAAAGACATCAGAGAGACGCCGTCGACCAAAGACCTCCGAGAGACGCAGTCAACCGAAGACCTCAGAGAGACGCAGTCGACCAAAGACCTCAGGGAGACGCAGTGAACCAAAGACCTCAGAGAGAAACAGTCAACCAAAGACCTCAGAGAGACGCAGTCAACCAAAGACCTCAGAGAGAAACAGTCGACCAAAGACCTCAGAGAGACACAGTCGACCAAAGACCTCAGAGAGACGCAGTCGACCAAAGACCTCAGAGAGACGCAGTCAACCGAAGACTTCAGAGAGACTCAGTCAACCGAAGACCTCAGAGAGACTCAGTCAACCAAAGACCTCAGAGAGACGCAACTCAACCATAGACCTCAGACAGACGCAGTCAACCAAAGACCTCAGAGACACGCAGTCAACCAAAGACCTCAGAGAGAAACAGTCAACCGAAGACCTCAGAGACTCAGTCAACCGAAGACCTCAGAGAGACTCAGTCAACCAAAGACCTCAGAGAGACACAGTCAACCAAAGACCTCAGAGAGACGCAGTCGACCAAAGACCTCAGAGAGACGCAGTCGACCAAAGACCTCAGAGAGACGCAGTCGACCAAAGACCTCAGAGAGAAGCAGTCGACCAAAGACCTCAGAGAGACGCAGTCGACCAAAGACCTCAGAGAGACGCAGTTGACCAAAGACCTCAGAGAAACGCAGTCGACCAAACACCTCAGAGAGATGCAGTTGACCAAAGACCTCAGAGAGAAACAGTCAACCGAAGACCTCAGAGAGAAACAGTCAACCAAAGACCTCAGAGAGACACAGACAACCAAAGACCTCAACACACAGCTAGTCAACTTTATAAAAACCTCCAGATGAGGAACTCCATCTGAAGTTAAGTTATTTTCTCTGTGATATCTCTGTATCTGAGTAACTCAAACTGACTACTTTAAAACATAGCACCTTCTGCTGCACTTTTCTACTGAGCACTTGTCAGTTTCACACGGTTTTATTTCTGATAGCAAGGAGTAGCTAGCCTAGGCTAGCGCTAGCTTAGCATTGCTATTGCTTCTCTCTCTCCCTCCCTTGACTCTTTTCCAACTCTTCCTTCTTCCTCTCCTCTCTCCTGCTCTCTGTGTCAGATGTTCAGTTATTCCTCTGCCTCCTTTAGTGATAATGGGATGTGTAATAAGTGTAGTATTTTTGTAGCTTTGGAGGCGAGGGTGTCAGAGTTAGAATCCAGGCTTCAGGCTGTTAAACATCCAGGAGTTAAAGTAGGCCCCCCATGTAGCTGTCCTCCAAAAGTGCCTGAGCAGCCAGGCGATTGGGTAACTGTACGCAGAAAGCGTAGTCGTGGATTTCTGCCCACTGGTCACCACCAACCCGTTCACGTTTCTAACCGGTTTTCCCCACTCAGTGACACACCCACTGAGAAGCCCACTCTGGTGATTGGCAGCTCCATAGTCAGAAACGTTGCATCAGAGACAACAGGGACCATAGTCAAATGTTCACCGGGGGCCAGAACGGGCGACATCAAATCCTACCTGAAACTACTGGCTAGGATAAGGTTAAATACAGTAAGATTGTTATTCACGCTGGTGGTAATGACACCCGGTTACGCCGATCGGAGGTCACTAAAATTAGTGTGGCTTCGGTGTGTAAGTTTGCCAAAAAAATGTCGGACTCCGTAATTTTCTCTGGTCCCCTCCCTGATCTGACCAGTGATGACATGTTTAGCCACATGTCGTCATTCAACCGCTGGTTGTCTAGGTGGCGTCCTGAAAACAACATGGGCTACATTAATAATTGGCAATCCTTTTGGGGAAAGCCTGGTCTGATTCGGAGAGACGGCATCCATCCCACTTTGGATGGTGCAGCTCTTCTTTCTAGGAATCTGGCCACATTTATTAGTCCTCCAAAACCCTGACCCCCCAGGGAGCAGACCAGGAAGCAGAGTTGTAGTTTAACACACATCTCTGCAGCTTCTCTACTGTTACCTACTCTTTACTCCATCCAGACAGTGTCTTGTCCACGACCAAAATCTAATAAATTAGCAAAGATTCCCAAAGGAGTAAATCATGATAATCTAATTAAAATCAAAATAACTTCAATTGGGGAAAAAGTTAAAACAATTAAATGCGGTCTGTTTAACATAAGATCTCTTTCCTCTAAAAGTCTGCTAGTTAATGACTTGATTTGTGATAATCACATTGACTTGTTTTGCCTTACAGAAACCTGGCTGCAGCAAGAGGATTATGTGAGCATAAATGAGGCAACTCCTTCAAGCTATTTAAATTTTCACATCCCCAGAAGTTCTGGGCGAGGAGGAGGAGTAGCAACAATCTTCCAGTCTGACTTACTGATTACTCCCAAAACAGTTAATACCTACAACTCTTTTGAACATTTAACCCTTAATTTCCCTGATCCAAATTTCAAGGCAAGAAAACCTCTTCTTTTTGTAACTCTGTATCGTCCACCAGGTCCTTACTCTGAATTTTTAGATGAGTTTTCAGAGTTCCTTTCTGACTTGGTATTAAATACTGACAGGGTCATCATAGTGGGAGATTTTAACATCCATGCTGACATTGAAGGCGATAGCTTAAGAGCAGCCTTTAATGCTATCTTAGACACTATTGGCTTTGTTCAAAATGTGAATAGTCCCACGCATTCTCATCTTCATACTTTGGATCTTGTGCTGACATACGGCATAGAATGTGAAGAAATAACAGTATTTCCTCACAACCCTGTCCTCTCTGACCACTTTCTAATAACCTTCAGGATTACTTTAACAGAGTTCTCCTCCCCCAAAAGAAGGTTCAATTTTAGTAGATCTTTATCAGATAGTGCAGTTATAAATTTTAAAGAATCTGCTTCACTTTCTCTCTCCTCTGTGTCACTGAGCAGTGCTGCAGAGTGCAAAAGCATAGCTTATTCCCCTTCACAGGTTGATGATTTTGTTGAGGGGGTTGCTAGTTCTCTGTGTACTGCCTTAGACAACGCAGCTCCTTTGAAAATGAAAACCGTTAAAAATAGAAAGCTTGCTCCTTGGTTTAATGCAGAGCTGCGTACTTTGAAGCAAAATGCTAGGAAACTGGAGAGAAAATATCGCTCCACAGGCCTGCGAGAGTCCTTCCTAGTCTGGAAAAATGGTTTACTGCTGTATAAGAGGACCCTTTGTAAAGCAAGAGCAGCATACTTCTCCTCATTAATAGAGGAGAATAAGAATAATCCTAGATTTCTTTTTAATACAGTTGCCAAACTCACCCAGAGCCATAGCTCTGTTGAACCGTCCATTCCACCTGCTCTTAGCAGCAATGATTTTATGGGATTCTTTATAAATAAGATTGATCTTATTAAAAATAAGATCATAAGCACTCCTCTATCCGCGATTGTACCTGAGGTAGTCATGGAATCTGAACCGGGTTTAGACTGCTTTGATCCAGTTGAACTTTCTGAATTAGCAAAATTATTGTCTTCATCTAAGACTTCAACTTGTATGTTAGATCCAGTTCCAACCAGGTTATTTAAGGAGGTATTCCCTTTGATCTCCTCCTCCATTTTAGATGTAATTAATCTATCTCTGTTACAGGGATATGTACCTAAAGCTTTTAAGGTTGCTGTAATTAAACCTCTGCTTAAGAAACCGTCTCTTGACCCAGATTACTTGGTTAATTATAGACCTATATCCAATCTTCCTTTCTTATCCAAAATTCTTGAGAAAGTAGTTGCCAAACAAGTTTGCGATCACTTCCACCATAATGAACTTTTTGAAGAGTTTCAGTCTGGCTTTAGAGCTCATCATAGCACTGAAACAGCTCTGGTGAAAGTCACTAATGATATTCTCATGGCCTCAGATAATGGACTTGTATCTGTGCTCGTCCTGTTGGATCTCAGTGCTGCATTTGATCCAGTTGATCAGAATATTCTTTTAGAAAGACTTGAATATTTTGTTGGAATTAAAGGAACAGCACTAGACTGGTTTAAATCTTATCTATCTGATCGAATTCAGTTTGTTCATGTTAATGACAAATCTTCCACATGCTCACAGGTTACCTGTGGAGTACCACAGGGATCAGTGCTAGGACCAATTCTCTTTACTTTATACATGCTCCCAATTAATTTCCACTGTTATGCTGATGATACCCAGCTATATCTGTCTATAAATCCAGATGAAGCTAACCCATTACATAGATTACAGGCATGTCTGAAGACATAAAAACCTGGATGACTCTTAACTTTCTGCTTCTGAATGCAGACAAAACAGAAGTTATAGTCTTTGGACCAGAGTCTCTGAAAAAGAAGCTGATTAGTCAGTCACTTCATTTGGATGGGATTAAACTGATTTCAGATAATAAAGTAAAAAATCTTGGTGTTATTTTTGATCAGGACCTGTCATTTAAATCCCAGATCAAAGAGGTTTTTAGAATATCCTTCTTTCATCTGAGGAATATTGCAAAAATGAGAAATCTCCTGTCCAGGGGTGATGCTGAGAAACTAGTCCATGCATTTGTTACTTCAAGGCTGGACTATTGTAATTCTTTACTATCAGGAAGTCCACAAACTGTAGTTAAAAGCCTTCAG